TCGCTACCACTCGGTATACGTGCACACGGGTCAATGTCTGCTAAATAACTTCAAGCACTGCTCCATAAAGGGGTGCGTGTGTGAGAAAAAGAAGCGATGTGATAAGTGACTGCACGCATGGAATATAACTTCGCGGAGTATAACTTCATTGAGCAACACCTCAATGATCGTTTCTTAATAGCGCTTCATAATAGCGTTTCTTAATAGTGCTTCGATAGTTAATCAAAAACTGTTTGCTTTCAAGGTCTGTAATAGACGTATTTAGGCTAAGGGATAAACTTCAATGAGAAGTTATCTAAGGGGGTTTCGTTAAGGATCTGTTTACACATAGACCTAGCTGCTTTAAGCTGTTTACAAAGCATCTTTAGTGCTGGCGTTCGCAACTGTCCCGGTATTCTGGAATGTGAAGCTTGTTTGAAGTTGGTAAAAATGTTCTAAAGCGATATGTTATAACACGCGCTGTCGCATTTTATGTGTGCATAAAATTCTGCAGCCCTGCTGTAAACTCCCATTTGATGTGCGCTTTTGAGTGCGTTCTTAGCGCTGACGTTTGGTCCAACAGAATCACTTACGTAGCCGTATATCTTGTGACGGTTTGAGACAAATACGGCTTTGTCGTTGGCCCCTAGGTGCTAGCCCATCCCAGCAATCTGCCGGAAATTAATAAAGTCTACATCTCTTGTTTTTCTTTTGCTAGAAGCACCTAATTTAGACATGAGTCAGGAATCTTAAACCTCCCTGGTTAACACATTGGTGAATAAGGATAACAAGAGACAGGATATAATAATTATTTTAATTTCCTTATTATATGACGCTAAAGCATTTCCGACGGCCTATTAACTGGTAAATTGTGCGTTGAAAAGGTTCCGAAACCCCAAGTGAACCAAGCCGACCGTTTTCCTTATATATTGGAGCACTGTTCGCTTAGTTGCTCAGAATACAAAATCACGTGGTTAACGGTATCGAAACCCATCCGTAAAGTAGTCTGTAGAAGAGCTTGTGCATCTCTGTTATGTTTGACTGTTCACGCATTGTCAAGAGTGATGATTGCTCAAGTTTTACGTGCCAAAACATGATATGGTTATGAGGCGGGGTATAGTGGTATTCGGTATTCCTTTCGACCCCTTGGAGTCTTCGGCGTTCACGCGAACCTAAGCGCGCGGGGGCTCTCTGCATTTCACCCTGAGCGAAACGCTGTCGCCGAGGCCAGGAATGATTTCGATGGAGTCGAAATACTAGAGGCCCGTTTGCTGTGCGATGTCATCAGTGCACGATGTCAGAGCCCCAGATGATCCAAATTTCCGGAGCCTTCAACTACGGCATCTCTCAAAAGCATATTGTGGTTGTGGGACGTAAAAATCCAGATCACGATTATTATTATTATTATTATTATTATTATTATTATTATTATTATTATTATTATTATTATTATTATGACCGGGAATCAAACACGCGCGCTCAAGTGCTGGCGACCGTATACTGTATAGAAGCTGCGTGTCTCACAAAAGCTCACCGACATTAGTTTTTTTTATTGTGACAAAGACTTGCCTTTAAGGCATAATATTTTTGATAAATGTGTGCTGTTAGGCCGGTGTTGTGTATGAAGTGAAGTAATGTCTTGTGGAATCTGTTTTCACGTATCCAGCGGTTGTAACTGGCTGTGTCGCTGTAGCGAAGGCCGGCTTGAGCGAGCTTACGGGAGCGTTCTGGTTGCAACCCTTTACATGTCCATAAAAGGTGGTATGTATCTGCTTGCATCGCAGGAGTGGGACAATACGGACACGTATCACCAACTCGTAAATGTAACCAGTTACATGACGATATAACGGCCGGTGTAAGGGCCACTCCTGCCCGAAGCCTTCTAAGCACAACTTCCTCCGCCCTAGTAAGATGAGGGGGGAGTGAGCAGGCACACGGTGGAATGAGAGCACGTGTATCCTGCCGGAGAACATTTTTATGGGTATGGATTAAGTTTAGGAGCTGACGTGGACGGGGAATGGCCGGAAAGTCTATGTCTAGAGGGCAGTGCGCCTGCTGGTCAGCAGCAATGTTGTGTGGGTTCGCAGCATGGCCTTGAAACCAATGTACTTTTACGCAAGTAGCCGTATTATGGTTCAGCTTATGAATCGCCTCGCAGATCTCCATCGCCTTGTGTACTTTCTTGAGCTCCTTAATAGCTCCTAAGGAATCAGTGTATACGTCAATCTGCTTAATTGTGGGCAGCTTAGAGGTAGCATCCTGGATTGCGTCGTGGATGGCTTGAAGCTTCATGACAAGAGGAATGGCTTCTGTAGATAGATAACGCCGGTTGCCTCTGACAAAAGTATGCGTAGTGCCCAGGAATGATGTCATTCCGCCGTCTTGTAGGATAGCAGCATCTGTATATAGTTTGCAGGTATTAGCGCATGGGGCCTCGATGATGGAGCGTTCGCCAATTGTAGATGATGTATCGGAGCGCCGTAACTTTGTTGTTTTATTAGATGTGATGGTGTGAATTCCCAGGGAGGCATAGACTCGGGCTGGTTGTCAATGTGAGAGCCACGTTGAAAGTGAGCATGTAACGCATCAACAACCGGTACAAGTTGCCTTTTGATTTCACGAGTTTTTTCTCTTTGCGTAACCAGCTCTGCAATTGTGTTAGTTCTTCCGACGATGCATAAATCAAGCCTTGCTGTAAGAGTATAGTATGTCCACTGGGGCACTTCGCATGTGCGAACTCTATTTGTTTTAGCTTTTAAAAAATCGCACCCCCTCCCCCCGCCCCCCGTAAAGCGAACCCTGAGTAGTATGCAAAGCAGCCACGGGTCGACTTAAACAGAGCTACTTTTTATTCATCACCGTAGGTGTTCATGGTTGCGCACACAGCCGCTTTGCAAGCCCTCGCATTCGCCGCGCATGTCTTCATTCGTACTACTACGCTGTGTGTGTGTGCGTGTGTGTGTGTGTGTGTGTGTTGAGAAAGAGAGAGAGAGAGAGAGAGAGAGAGAGAGAGAGAGAGAGAGAGAGGAGAGAGAGAGGAGAGAGAGAGAGAGAGAGAGAGAGAGAGAGAGAGAGAGAGAGAGGAGTAAGCGCTAGCGGTCTCCACTCGTACGACCACTAGATGGGTCTGCTGTAGAGCGCTGGCTCCACTTCACTTGCGCCGAAATAAAGTGAGCGCTCTGCGGCAGAGCCATCTAATGGGAGCTCCGAGTACTAGCGTGGCTACGATGATGGACAAGCCGCTACCATAGGTTGCTTCGCATCTTAAAAAAAAAAAAAAAACAACCTCTGGATAACGCTTCAGAAGCCTTCCTACGTCACTTGGAATGATGCTACATTAATACTAACAATGTTCTAGTCTTTAGACATCTCATAAAAGATGTATTTCTTATTTGTCTGAGTGATTGCTGCTTCTTTTCTTTCATAAAACATTCAATGTGTACATGATAGTTATTTTGACCTGAACAGCCGTTTATGGAATTTATTGCTTCAAGGCAGGTCGTTTACAGCGAGAAAGCTTAATTGGACAGTGCCAAAACACTTGCTACATAAGGCACCTGCTTTTAAGTGTGTCATAGCGTTTTATATAATCACCTGTGCACCTATTCTCGTCAAGGAGCCAAAACCGAGGCAACTGGTTTGAGACCACGCGGGATGTGACAGTTTTTAGTTGCATAATATCCATTACGTAAGCCACGCTCAGCCAAATCCTTCTACTTTCCGAACAGCTCCCCTTCCCCCTTTCCTCCCTCGCATCTCCCTCTGTCCGACACTCTGCTTCTTTCGGCCGTTGATTACTCTGAGTGCACTTCAATTCACCTCACGAGGCACGCTTCTTTGCCGCTCGGAATCCGTTGCGGTTCGTATATGGCTTTCTGGGCACGTGATGTCCATTTATAGGTCGTCCCATACTTCCGATGGATTAATAGCGGTCTCCGGGCTATCGAGCGCGACCTACGACCTTAAATTTGTACTTATTCTCGGCCTCTTTCTCGTTTTTTTTTTTTGCCCCGAACCGAAGTGCAATTACGTAAAGAGCGTATAGCGAAGCAGCCCTGCAGCGGGGCTGTGTGTAGTACCATGTGAAGCTGCTGCGGGGGTGCAGTTGCGTCCCAGCGATTTCGGCACACGCTTCGAATCGTTGCGTGTAGAGCCAATCTGCCACCTCCTCACAAAAGCGGTCAGCAAAGCAGTGCGTGGCACTGACTACGCTTCACTGTGCTTGAATTGTGTCAAGAGTGATAGAGAGGGGTCTTGTCTGCAACTCTGTGCTTGCAATGCAGTCCGTTTACGTTGATGACTTGTCCCGTCGAGTGAGTATACTATGTATACAATATTCCATGCTTCTTCTCGTGTGCATATGCGTCTTATCAGAGTGCGGTGTACAAATGGGCTAAACGTGTGCTGAAGTTTTGTTGGTTTGCCCGTTTAGATGCGTTTGGCAACGCACGTAGTATTTGTGCGTGCAACGCAGTGCAATTCCTCTCACTTGCGTCTATTTAGCCTCTGGTGCTTGATTTTTCCTGTGTGATTTCAAGAAATAAGAAGTAGAGAGTGCGCATGCAGTGAATAACAGCAAAGTTTGTCATGCCGCTGTCATCTGCATGGTCGCTTAAGGTATAATGGCAAGAATCGTGTTGCAACGAACGTTACAGTCAGTTTACGCTTTGTTGTGTTTTTTCTTCTGTATTGTTCCATTTGCGAGATGCAATCATGCAATTATTTTCTTTCACAATCGTCGTGGATCCATTGCGGTTCGTGTGCTTATACGGAATCCCCCCCCCCCCCCAACTATCCGCGTGTTGGAGTTCCTAATGTGGGATTACAACATGTGCGAGTTATTTATTTTTCTATATTATTGATAAGTGTTGACATACTACATCTCAAAATTTTAAAAAAAATGAATGAATGAATAGTAATGAAGCGTACTCTATTAAACACGACTGAAGGATGAAATATAGTTTTTAGAATGTCCATAGAAACCCTTCTTTAAGCGCCTCCTTCTCCGTCTCGTTTCGCAGGATTCCGCGATGTGGTCCATGAGGAAACGGCGCTTTGCCCGATTCGCGGCCGCCGGTGTGGCTGCGATCACGGTGCTGGCCAGCCTGACCCACTTTGCCAGCAGCGCAACGCGGATCTATGACGGTCGAACTGTCACTGCGCGGCGCCGGTCCTTCGCGCTTCCCGTCTCGCTGCCGTCCCAGGCAGTTGCAAGTTCCAAGCAGACTCAGCAGCAGCCACGTCGAACATTCACCAGCAGCCGCGTCTACAGTCCTCCCTTCGAGTACCTCATCAACCAGGAGGGACTGTGTCGCGGCAACGGCACGGACGACCACCGGCACCGCATCGACTACTTATTCCTCATATCGTCCGCGATGGGCAACGTAGACCGCCGCAACGCCATCCGAGGCACCTGGGGACGCGACGTCCTCGCATTCACCGGCAACCGGGTGGCCTTCTTGCTGGGCGCCGGCAACGACTCGAGGCTTCAGTCGGCCGTCGAGAGTGAGGCCTCGGTGCACGGCGACCTCATTCAGGAGGCGTTCTTCGACTCGTACCGCAACGTTACGCTCAAGTCCATCATGATGCTCCGGTGGACGACCCGCTTCTGTCCCGGCGCCCGGTTCGTCGTCAAAGTGGACGACGACACGTACCTGAACGCGGGCAACTTCTTCGCCGCCATGCAGTCCCGCTCCGGAGACGCCATCTACGGCAAGCTGTACCAGATGAGCCAGCCCATTCGCGACCTGACCAACAAGTGGTACGTGACGGCCGACGAGTACCCGGGCGACATGTATCCCGACTACGTCGGTGGTTCGGCCTACGTCATCGGAGGCGACGTCGTCGACGCCCTGTATCGGGCCACGGGACACGTCAGGCCGTTCCCGATCGAGGACGCCTACATCACCGGTTCGTGCGCCGAGAGCATCGGCGTGCGTCGAGTCCAAGTCGAAGGGTTCAACTTCGCTGCGCATCGAGTCCGTGTGCGAGGTGAAGAGGGCGGTGACCGCGCACTACACGACCGCCAAGGAGATGGTCGCCTTCCGCGATCAGCTGCAGCGCACCGAATTCGTGTGCCAGCGGCTCTTGTTTGACTTCGCCTACTTCTGTTACTGTCGCAAGGCCTCGGCTGTCACGTGACGACGAGATCGCGACGAAGCCGCTAAGTGTTCTGTGATCTTTTCGTACTGATTGTTTTTGTTCATTTTCACTCATTACTTTTACCAGTTTGGTGCCTGTTTCAGCGCCGAAGTTTCCATTACGATGGCTCATCGATCATTACTGCAGTTGTATCACAACGGGCTCATTCGCAGCGACATCTCACGAACCTGCCAAGAATTATTGTGATGCAAGTCGCCGCACACTCACCGGACATCACGCACTGGACGCTGCTCTGCGACGTCGACTCAGTCTAATCGATCTGTTGATTTTATTTCATTATCTCACGTTTATGTGATCTTAAGGAGGCAACCGATGTCGGTGTTGTTTTTCGTGTTTTTATTTTTCTCTGTGTCATGACGCTTACGTAGGGACATTGAATGTTAATTTTTTCTTTCTTCCTATTATATGGAGGAAGTCGTTTTTTGTATGCAATGTTGCGCTTCCAGGTCGTTCACCGTCCGAGCAATTTGCCTGTTTTGCGTACTGCGTTGTTTCAAAGTATATACCGCCGTGTACCATGCACATTTCCGTGGTGATTTCGGCCCCGCCGCGCCGCTAAGTACGCAATCACTCATTTGTGTGAGATGGAACGTACTCACGCCAGCATACTTAGGGACCAGGAATGTTCCGTCTGTCTATAAAAATGTTATTCCTTGTTAATATAAACATACACCACTTTTGGGAAGATTTTAAAGCGCAGACCAAGAGAAAAACTGTCATCTCACGACCATATAGGTATGCGAAACATATTTATTGAATTTCAGCGGACCAAAAGTCGGCTGAAAATATCGCGCAGGTAACGTGTGGTGTTGTGAACTTAAAGGAACGCTTTTAACACTCGCCACGACCAGACAGATTCAGTAATCGTAGGGTTAATGTTTCCGTTGTTTTATTCGGGCCGATAGACTGTTGTTCTCCCTGTGAGCATAGCACGAACAAACGCCTAGAGGTTGTTTATTTTTCCGCGTGACATCAAATACTTGCTCATTTGGCATTTCTCAATACCGACGCAACTATACTTATTCTCATAGGCGCCTTTCGCTGTTGTGACAGGGGCATTGCTTCTGAAAAGTATTGTTTGGTTGTGAACTTGGCCTTATATTGTGCTTTTATTACTGTTCCTATTTCACCATTTCACGGGAAAATGCCGAAGCCTAGTAGTGGCTTTAGTCACTGCTAAACACTGTGTGATGCGTATTTGATTACGTTTTGAATACAGGATAATGCGGCTTTCATAGAGCTATCTCAGTATGCAGCGTTGCTTAAAATATTGATAGTCAGAAAAGCCACCACTGTACAGCTGTGTTAGTTATAGAACACTGTAGCACATACACGCAAAGTCTGTAGCGAGCGCGTCCATACACGCAGATATAGCATTTTGTGACCACCTCTATAGTGTTCTGATGTAGTGTTTCGTAGAAGACAAGCTGATGGTGTTGAATGGTATGTTGAAAGATCGTTGTTGGTTTTAGACCGGTGTTTGCCGATGAAGATGTGCGACTGAAGAAAGCCTAAGCGCTTCATCTGTGTTTTTTTTCTTATACTGGAAGCATAAGTATATGGTACTTGCGATCTGTTAAAATCTCGAATATCCAAGAATCTAAATTTATACGAATCGTCCCGTTGGCTTGCGCAACTACGTGCGCATTTTTCAGGGTCACAGTGCCAAAAAAAAAAAAATAATTGTGACAGTTCGTCAAACATAGAAACGCAAGTGAGTGATGTTGTTACCCACAGAAGTTACGTGAAGAATCTTTATTTCATGAAAAATAAAGCGAATATCACGCTGTTTAAACGTCATTATTGTCTGCTATCAATTTGGATTTATAGTTATGCTACCAATAGCAGCCATGACTGTATTGTTTCAGCGCGACTATTACTTTCGCTCGCTTGTTTGGTTCCAAATGCTGTAAACTTGTGAAACTTATTTGTAACTAACTCCAAGGTCTCATTTAGACTCTCTAGGTCACTCAACTTCATGTAAAATATCGGCCGTTTTCTTTTTTTCGCTTTCATGTCTGTGTCATTCTCTCTTCAGAGTCGTATTCGCAACTCCATATTGGTCAATGCAATCGAGCTGACTGCTTGCACTCGTTTACATCGCGCACTGTGCTTGACCAGCCTTTTTGGAAGTACATTCTCGCTTATTTTAGGATGAGCAAAAATGACTCAAAAGCGTCACAAAAAAAAAATTGCAGGACCCTTAAGCTTCGCCTTTAAGAGTTAAAAGCCATAGCGAAATCTGGTCCCTAGTGCGCACTTCAACCGCTAAGTGCATACTCAATAATATGTTTTGTTACACACACACTCGTACACACACACACGCACACAATAGATTAGACCAGCGCGCGCGCACGAATGGTACATACAAGTTTTTGATCTGAAGCAAGAGTCGCAAGGCCTCAAAGATACACGCCGCGCGCTTGCCATCTCGGAGGCCATAAGGAGTCTCACAATGCTTCTTCGATGGTAGCACATTATCTAGCGTTTGCTGTTTGCTTGATTAACGCCCCTAAAAAGGCATATGTTTTCCGCTAGATAGACATAGTTGTTCTTTTTTTAGAGCTGTTCGAAAATTCCTGTGTGTTTTTAGCGGCGATGGCTGCACTATCCCGGCCTTTTTCGACTTAGTTTGATGGCCTCCCACATGCGCCTACAATCGCCGAACGGGCTCGTTTTCATCGTGACACCCGTCGAACAAAATGCGTTAAAAAGACTCCTTCCACTACATGACATTTATGTTGGTTTTTTTTTTTTTCGCATCAGCTGCAAGTAACATCGTGGCTTTGTGTAGGACACCTGCTCGCCAAGCGGACGGCCCGGGTTTGATCCTCAATGGAACAGAAAATTTTATTCTTGATTTTATTTGCTTCTTTCTCGATTTTCGCTCACAACCAATGGTGCGGACGCTGATGGCGTAATTTCTGCGACACGAGCTCTCTAACGCTATCGCGTTAAAATATAATCTCGTGGACTCTCGTGGTGCTCCTGTCCTCAGTGTCCCCCGCCGGCGTATATCAGCGACGGAGGGGTTGTGCTGCTGAACTCCGTGTTGTGGGTTTGATGCGTGCGCATTTCGATGAGGATGAGAAGCAAAAGAAGTGCGTATATGGGTTCTCAGCTTTGTAGGTACGCGCAGAATATCCCATGGGTCGACAAAATTCACCCGGAGTCTTCCACTATATGACGAGCCCCACTATCAAGCAGTAGTTCTAGTATACAAAAATTCACGCTGTAGTTAACATTTTTTTCAGCATCTTGCCAGGCTTATTTTGTTGTGCGCTGAGTGGTCATATGTTGAACAGCCCCGATCTCCATAGTTAGTGATCTAACACAGATCCTCATGAAAGCATATCTCGAGGTTTCTTCACGTGGACCAGATATAAGACCTCGACCAGCGCCAACTGTTGACCTCAAGAATCAGATGGAGATCTCTGAAATATGCGTTTCTATTGCAATTTCTCGAGCCGCAACACGATGATGGTCACCAACAGTTATGAGCAGGCTCCATATATAGGCGTTTCGAGATAAGAAGAAGAAGAAGATTAACCGCGTAGCCTGGCGCGCGGCGTTTCAGCATCATTCGGGTTCGCAAGCGAACGATATCTACAATGAGCAACCGCTCGACCTCGAGAAGAACCGAAGGACGAAAGGAGCATTCTCCCTTCGCGAGTGGTGAGGCAGCCGGCGGAGAACCGGAAGACAAACCCAAGCCACGATCTCGGGACGTGCATCCACAGCCTGGAAAGGACAGCAGCTTAAGCAGCAGCAGCAGCAGCAGTGACAGTGGCGGGCGCTTCGCCAGCGGAGAGACCGCGCTGGGCGATCAGCAGTCGACGGCCGAAGCGGACATCAAGAGCGAGCTCCTGGACGCCGGCATCCACGACTTCACGAGGAGCGACCAGAGCGGTGGCTCACGTCAAGACAGGTGGAGGCCCCGTAGTGGCAGCCATGATGCCGAAGCAGCCGGTTCGCTGAGCGAATACTCCGACGACGTCGACACCTTGACTGAAGCCACAACGCAGGCGTTCACGGCCGTACCGGCGGCCTCGTCCACGGCCATGCTCGTCGCCCGCGAAGAGCCGAAGCACGAGCCTTTCCTCAAGACCATCGCCAAGGCGTCCTTCAGGTGCGGTGTGACCGTGCATCAACGCCGTTTAAGCTAGTTGCCTATCATTACTTGGTACTCAGCGTGTCGTTGGGATCGGTGCACTGGTATAGTATAACTATTAAAGAGCGCGGGGTCATACATGTATATAGAATTAAACACGCTCTGAAAGAGTGTTTTCCGAATGTCTGGACAATGTTTCGGGTTTATTCACAAACGCATCTTTGTGGGTATACGTGAATTGACAGCAACCATACTCGAATCGTTTGTGCCTGTCCCAAGGTTTAAAGTAGGCGGTATGTGGCGCAGGTATGTGTCGTGCACTGAGAGCATAAGTAGATTTTCTAAATCGGCTGCTACTCTGTTAAACCGCTGGAGGCACGGAGTCTTAACGTGTCGGCGTCTAAAACATATTTAACAGAAAGCTTAATGAAATCCAGCAGATGATGAGGCCGGGGAAAGAATAGGGAACGTTAATTGTACTGTTTTAATTGTAGGTCTATTGTAACAATTGGAATATTTACATGTAGAAAGATGGACAGAAAGATAACTCACCGCTGCAGCAGGTACCGAACCTGCGACCTTCAGATTACCCGCTCAATACTCTTACCAACGTAGCTACACCGGTGGTCGTCGCCTCGTCACACTTATCTGGTACTTACTTCCCTTCCTTCATTAATTATTTGACGAGAAGACTATGTTGACGCATGCGGAATACAACGAAAACGCTGGAGGCTTGTTCAACGCGATGAACAGTTTTGGCTTCGAAGGACGCCTCGCAAAATCCATCCTGTTTTCATTGAAATTCAACTCCTCCTGTCGTACGCTTTGGGTTGCAGCATTTTGCCGGTAGCCTGTTGACGCGCAAGTTTGTTTGCCCTCATAATTGGCGGAAGGTGCGAAATGTAGTTGGAAAAAGTTGAGGTGAGGGGACCTAGTAAGCGTGACGCACGTGACAGCGCCAAAAGCCTTTCGAAGTAACGAGAAGCGGCGTGCTAATTTTAGCAGCTGTGTAAGCAAGGCGAGTATCCGAACGTTTGATGGCGGTCACTGGTTATCAGAGAGTTACCCTGCTAAACAACGTTATCGCTCATCAATGCGAGCAGAGGTGGGCGATATAAGGAAACAAGAATGGTTCGCAAGGCTGCAGCCATACAATGCGAACGGCAATTGATCGAACTATCGGCTTGGTATCCCCATTAGTTCAGCCGATGTCACCTCTGAACAGAATGAAGGATGAACAAAAAAATGTGATAGTCTTGGTGGCACAGCTATTCATGTGCCTTCATTTCTGCTACATTTTTCAACCGATTGTAACAGGTTGTCCCAATCGGTTATTTCATCAGCCTTTTTCCACGTGTGTGATACTAACGCAGCAATACGCATGTTCTGCATGTGTACAATCAGCAAGAATTAATATTTCTGATTTGGCTCTGATAGTGATGAGAAAAATATACTTTAGTGCCACCCTACAGTGATGAGGACTATCACCGTTGGGTGGAGGTGAAAAAAAAAAAACCGACGCAGGTAGAGATTTTGCTCGATAACAAAAATCTATGATAGAGAGTTTCATTTTGCGCAATGTCAAGGAACCAGAATGCCCCCCCCCCCCCACCCCACCACCACCTTTTTTTTTTCTCTTGCCCTAGAACAATCTCAAGACAGCGCTTGTTTGCCGTTTGTCTCCCCCTCCCACTCCGCCTTTTGTAAAGAAATTCTGGTGCCGTCCATGGATAACAATCAAATGTACTTCAACCAAATGTATGTGCTTGCATGCATACCTTGCGATCGAATAGCTTATTCTGAAATAAAGGAAGTAGAAAAGTCATGTATTAGCATTTATGCTACGCAAAAACGCACCTTTGTAATAAGCTGAGCAGGCCCCGCTTTGATTGTGATACGTAATTATCAGCCAGTGAAAGAGACGCAGTCAGTAATCACTACTTGCGCTATAACTTTTTCAGGCGTGAATTATCATGTCAGATGTGCCGTATGCGCAGTACATCACTCTAAAGTAAACTTAATATTACATTAAAAAAACGAAGTAACATCTTGTTGTGTGCGAGTTTGGGTAATTGTTCTTAGCGTGTAATCAAATTTTCAATCATTCTGCCGTCAGCTGTGTTCCCTTATAGTAATAGGCTAATTATGCGTGCGCGATTAGTTTTTGGATGCGTCAAGTTCGACAAACGAAAATTACATTCGACGTTGGTTACTCGACGGCTCGTCGAACGACCCGTCTAGCATTGCAGGGCATTGACCTTGAGTGCTCAGCGCCAGTCATTCGTAGCCAAGGGGTGATCAAGACATACTGCTTTTGCAGATGGCTCGATTCATCATATCCGCAGTGTATCGAACTCTTTCTTTCGACTATTCCAAAGAACTGTCAAAAACAAATTGCGTCCTCATGTTATCCGGCGTTCTTCGATTCAGCGCCTCGTCAAATATTGAATATGACTTTCGTCGTCCTTGTCGCGCGCGTTTGGAGCGATTTCAATAACGTTATCAGTGTGTGATCAGCAACGATGCGACGTGTACCACGTTGTCTAAATACACTTGAGTCGTCCGTGCCCAACGACCCACGACCAGCCGAGTGGGAGACGTTACCGGGGCTTCCGTCTCGCGCCGTGCACTAAATCCTGATTCGTATTTCGCGCTCTGAATGTGACGTGCTCGACGAGGAAGAACGGAG